TCCGCAAGCGAGCTCGACGCAAAGCAGGCGAGGGCGAGGGCGAGGGCGAGATCCAATCAGGCGAGATCGATGTTGAGGCGACCCCTTGCAAGTGAGCTTGAGGGCTTCAGACGAGGTCGATGCTGACAGGCTGGCACGAGCGAGATCTGTAGGTGAGCTCGAGAAGATTTGCAGGCGAGCTCAAGCGGGTGAAAAGCGGGCGAACTTGACACAGGCGGGGTTGGAGCAGGCGAGGTTGCGCCAGTTGTCGCTAGGGTTTCCCTATAAGAGGGAAACCCAGAGCCCGAGATCCATGTGCTTCTCTTCTCTTCTCGTGTTTTTCTTCCAGTGGCGGCGAAAATCTCTTGCTCATCTCGTTCCTCTTTTTTCCTCTCTTCTCGTGTTTTTCTTCCAGTGGCGGCGAAAATCTCTTGCTCATCTCGTTCCTCTTTTTTCCTACCTCTCATTGGAGAATTTGAAGGGTAATTAAAGAGGGAGAATTAAAGAGGAGTTATTATTGTAGCTATAGTAACGAACTTTTATTTATTGAGAGATTTTAAGTTTGAAATCTGCTCTTGCATTGTAATATCTTTGATTAATAAGAAATTAATTGTATGGCTCCCGAGTACGTAGGCAAGTTTGCCGAACCTCGTTAATCTTAGTGTATTTTTCTCTATACCGCTTTTCGTTTTAGGGGTTTAGCGCAGCGATTCACTTCTCAGGTAATAGTTTTATAATAAAAAAAAAATCATAATAATATCCACCACAATAACTTTGTGATATTGCTGCTTGGTTAATTGAGCAATACCCACTTGTATTTTCACAAGTTATAGCCTTCTATGTCTGCTTTCCCCCAAAAAAATAAAAAAAAAACCCCTTTTTTATGAGCAAATGAAACTGATATAAATCGGTAAGCAGTTGATAAAGCCCAGAAATTGAAACCCTAACAGAAGGGGATTTTCTATCTTACCGAAGAACAAGGTGCGCTGATCGGCGAAGTCGTGGTAGTCTTGGGACTGAGGGATTGAAGGAGTTACGATCATCAGAACGATGAAGATCGCGATCGCTGCTGCCCACGCGTAATATTTCGATTTTGCCATGGTCTCCTCTCTCTCCTCTCTCTCTCTCAGTTTGATTTGATCTTCTTGGTTCTTTTTCTCCCTTCAAATGACTCGGGCGTCGGTGCCTTTTTTCCGTTCTTTACACGTCCAAGTTTTTTTAGAACACTTCTTTTTGTAATTTAAAATTATAAATAATGTCCTCCACGTGACATTCGGAAAAATAAAATAAATGATTAATTACAATCTAGTATCCTTAAAACTTATGGTGTTATTACATTGATGATAATACAGCCCATATGAACTGCCTGTTTTGGTTGCTTTAAGGGTTGTTTGGTTCGCTGAGAAATTGAGAAAAGGAACTCAAAGAACATGACATACCCATGTGAGGGCGTCATATTTCCCAAAAAGGTATTTCTTCTATTTGGTTAAGAGAGAAGAAAAAAGAGATATTGTGCTTGTAAGACTCACCCACTAGCGAAGTCGTAAATGTTATAAGCCCGAAAAGAAAGGAAACCCATTTCAGCAAAGAAAGACCGGAAATGAGCTTGAAAACAGAGAAATGGGTCTCATAGCCTATTTCCTATTGGGTCATTTCCAGACTTAGGTTTCAGGGAAATAAAGAAACAGACCCTTAGTGTAAAACCCTTGAAAGTCAAGTCAAGGTATCTATGAATTGAACCGTCCACATCAACCTAATAGCTACAATAACTTCTAGCCAAAATGGATCAAAATGGAGGGAATTGCATAGAGCTTACCACTTAGGTTTCTTAGTGGCCATATTTTAGTGGTCACATCACCCTCCTACTTGCCCAAACAAATAAGGTAGTTGTTTGAAAGCTACTGTAACATAATAGCTACGGTAACTTTCAATCAAAAATATACCAAACCAAACAGACCCGGAAAACAACTATCAAGGTTAATTTTGTAATTATAATCTGTAATCTTGTGGTTATCTATATAGATACACAAACTCTAAAATCACCCGTTAATTACATTATACCTCAATATACCTAAAATATAAAACAAGAAAAAGAAACTCTGGCTAAATTGTTTGTTGAGTATAAGGAGCCTTTCCCCTCCTCCGCGACCGCTAAGACACAACTTGAGAAGACATAAATCAAGAAAAACAAAATCAAGGGATGTAACAGAAGTTTAATGTTTTCTTTTATAATAGTTAAAAAAGAAAAAAGAAGATGGGAGTAATAAATGGCATACACTTGATAGACTCATTAGTGAAGATCAGCAATCATACTCCCTTTAAAAGTAGGAGTTCAGAAAAATCTTTCGGTAGCAAATATACCCTTGAAATTCAAATACTAACTAATTAAGTAAGAATAAGTTGATTTATTTAAAAATATTTATCCGTAACCGTGCTTTCATAGGAATAGAATTCCTAGGATTCAATTTAGTGTCTTTATTTAAAAATATTTATCCATAATCGTGCTTTGACCCTAAACGTGTTTTAATAGGAATAGAAATCCTACAATAGGATTTAGTGACCCTAAACGTCTATTGATAGGAATAGAAATCCTACAATAGGATTTAGTGCTTCAATTTAGTGCCTTTATTTAAAAATATTTATCCATAACCGTGCTTTGACCCTAAACGTGTTTTGATAGGAATAGAAATCCTACAATAGGATTTAGTGACTCTAAACGTGTTTTGATAGGAATAGAAATCCTACAATAGGATATAGTGCCTTTATTTAAAAATATTTATGCACAACCGTGCTTTGACCCTAAACATGTTTTGATAGGAATAGAAATCCTACAATTCAAGCCTGAACTTTTCTTAAAGTATGCCGAGTTAATAGTTTAAAATCATTACAATATATAACATAAGGAAGTAAGGTGAAAAACATAGCATTTCAAAGTTTAAGAAATTATACTATTATTATTTAAATAGAACTCTGTTTGTAATTGTTGTCCTCTCATATGTAACATCACATACCAATATATATAAGCCAAGAAATTAGAACAACTTTCATAGCACTTTCATCACCTTCTACATGTATGTGCCTCTATTATTTTCTTCTTATTAGATTAGGTTAGATTATCTTTTTTCTAATATCAAGTCTATTTTCTTCTTATTAGATTAAATTAGATTATTTTACAACAATTAATTATCTTGTATGTTTTATTTTTTAGATCAAGAAATTATAATTACTTTTATATCATTTTTATTTCCTTCAATAGGTATGTGCCTTTGTTATTTTTTTCTTGTTAGATTAGATTATTTAAATAGAACTTTATTTATAATTGTTATCCTCTATTTCAAGTCTATTTGCAAAGGTGTGAAGGGCCTTGTCCTAATTCGAGTATGGTTCTTATTGATATTATAGTTGATTAGTTAATGTGTCGTTGCACAAGGCTGAGAGTTCACGTTGTTGAAGGTTTCATCTCATATTTTAAGAATTGTACAAAGAAATCAATTGTATACTTCCTTTTATTATTAATGTTAGGTCTCATATTTATGAGCCTATTATATAGTCTAGTTTTGATGATTAACAATTAATTTCTAACAACATTTGTCGAGTGTTTGTATTTGCTTGTTAGGTATTCTACACAAAGATCCTAGTTGGAGGATGGTTAGACTTAATCCTACATGATCATATCTATTGGAGGATGGAAGGAAAATAGGAATGAAACCGTCGTCATTCAAGTCAAGATTCATCATTGCTTCATCTGCAACCAAGACGAGGAAATTGAAGATCTATTGCTTGGGTATATAATTTTGTAGTTTAGGTTTTACTTTATGTGTTATATTTAAAGCTCAAACTATACACGCACATTTGTTTTTTTGTTTTATCGCCGTCTTTGGATTATAGACTTAACGACATGATTTTATATTTTTTTATTAAGTCTATAAATCTATTTGAAATTATTTTAAAACTTGTTTGTAATGATTTTATCAAAATCAAGTTTTGATAATTTTGTATTCTGAACACTTTGCAAAACAATAAGTTTTTCATGTTTGGGAAATATAATTTGAGAAATTTCTTATTTAACATATTTAGTTTCATGTGTATAAATATTTTCCCAAGTTTTACTAATTTTGGAGTTAATTTATTATTTTTAATTGAATTTAGAAAATCTTTGGGTTTCATGATGTTTTTGCAAACCAGATGAGTTTTCAAAAATGTGAAATAATATTTCAAAATTTTCTTTTTTAACATGTTTATTTTCATGTATATAAATATTTTCCCAAGTTCTACTATTTTTACAGTTGATTTGTTATTTTTAATTGATTTTACAAAATCAGCTTTTTAGGTGAATAGTATTTTGTGAACAGTACCGGTCGACCGATACACCTTCATAAGTCGACCGATCAGAGCAAATTTTTAGTGTCTGAGTTTTCAGACCGATCAATCGACCAATGGCATAGCATCAGTCGACTGATCAATGGTCAGAAGCCCAGTAACGGCTAGTTTTTGGGACGTTTTGCTATAGAGGCTATATATATGCCTCATAACCTATTTGTTTCACCAAGAATGTTTACAAAATAGTTTTGACAGTTTGTTTTAAAAGTTTTTGAGAAAAATTGTAGACGTAAAAATTACCTATGGGTTCCTGCACGTAGCTGGAGACGGAGAGAAGACGATGAACGTTATTATCCGAACCAAAGAAGATCATCCAAGGCTGTAAAGAAGCTAATGAGTGTATGAAGTAAGTTAGCGAGGCGTACAAGTCAACAAAATGATAAAACACGCAAAACGGCGGAAAATACAATCCCGAAAGGCCAAAAATGGCTAAGTTCAGAACTGTCTCGTGCAGCCGTAGGACACTTATTGGTGTCTCGCGCAGCCGTGGGACACCAATTGGTGTCTCGCGCCCACGCGGGTCACCAGTGTCTATCCCGCTCGCCGGTAACCAAAAACGTATTTTGATAGATTTTCTCGGGATTTCTTCATTCCTAAGCTTTCCAACTAACTTGATATCATATCTAAGAGTGGTTAGGCCGTTACCAACTGAAGATAGGGCCAAATCATTCATTCTTATCCAAATATCCATATCCGAAGCCCTATAAATACAAGACAATGGGCTCATTTCTTCAGATCTGAAATTTTAGGCGAGGTGCTATCGGGTTGAAGAGTGAACCACGAATTTTAGAGAGGGCTAGCCGATCTCGGCAAACTTCAACATAAAGAGGAAACTTTTCGAGAGATCTGAGGTCCGTGTCCTTTTTCCTCTGGATCAAACTTTGTTTTGATCTTGAGAAGAGTCGTAATCTCGCTTGGTCGAAATTATCACATCTGCGATTACTTCCTTTGTGAAGTAAGAGATTGTAATAATTACTTTGTCAACCGGATCCGATCCATAGGCGGTCCAATGGACTAACGCGTCTTCGGCACAGGCAAAGATCTCACGCAAGCAACATGAGATAAACTATTGTTGTGTGTTGTTTGAAGGAGTTATAATCTTTAATTTTTTATTATGTAAGAAGATCTTATAAAAAGATCGACTTTTCTATTTTTTTTGAATTTATAATCAATAAACGATTGTAACAGGTTTAATGATAATAAAAATAGCAACTTTTGAACCAAACAAATTGGTGACTACTGTCACGCCCCGTTTCCCAAAATACACGGGAACCGGAACGTGAACAAGCTCGCGACGTATTAGATTGAGAAGAAATATACTCTACTTTTTTTTCTTTTCTTCTCAATCCAATACGCTAAGCGTCTGGAAATAAGTACAATACGAAGTCACAGGTCCCCGATCACACATAGCAAGAATATAAAGACAACCCAGAATAAAAATAGACATATCATCAATGGTAAATCATCCCAGACATAAAATATGGGTCCAACATACCCTTATTACAAAACGGTCCAACTAAAAATATAAAAATACATAGTCCAACAAAATAAAGGGAAGTACTATAAAAAGAACTAAATCTCTCAAAATACTAAAAGAGAAATACTGCATAAATAATCTAATATCCCTCAACAACTACAGAAAAAATGTCTAAGCTCCCGCTTGCTCTTCTGCTCCATCTGGAATACACTCCGGCTGCAAGGCATCTCCATACTGGACCTGTCCGTCATCTAAATCTGACGTACACCAGAGAAAACAGGTGTACGTAAGGTGTATGGCACACAACAAGATCCCAAAAGGAAGAATAGAACGGTCGTGCGACCAATGCAATAATGG